GTGCTCTGCAGGCATTATGGAGAGGATTGCTTAGAGTACAATCAAGGGACATTCCTTCCCACTCCAGCTCACAGAGGCTGCTAGAGATGGAGTGTGGGACAGGAGTTAGGGAGGGACTCAAAGGGTGGGAGACAGGGCAAGCTGTGGTGATAAAACCTCCCGAATAGTCACTGGTGACACTAAACCTAAAGTGCCAGATGCCAGGAAGATCCTGAGCTCTGAGGAGACATGCAGACATCAGATGAGTCCTTCATTTCAAGGGTCTATGGAGCACATTTCAGCCCTCAGTAAAAGGCCACTTTCCTTAGACAGGAAATGAAGAGAAAGCAGAATAGCTGAAAAATTAGTAGCAGTATTATTTTTCCCCTAAATATTGGGGCAGAAAAGGGCAGAACCACTAAAATATGAAATCAAATAGATATCACCTGGGAAGAGGCACAGACCAGAAGCACAAGGCTTCACAGGCACTGAATCAGCTTTTGGGGGGGAGGAGGCATGCAGGGTAGGGTGGGGGTGTGGGCTGCAAAGGGATTTTTCTCACCTGAGGCCCTGCTGAAGGCCCAGCATTCAAAAACCCAATAATATGAAATATGACGTCTTTGTTTATTACAGAGCTAAAGTCAATTTTAGGACTGTGAAATATGACTTTAATAAATGAGTACACAAACCCATATGGTTCAAAGCCCAGCTATGCTGAAAACCAAATTTGACCCAGTTCACAGGACCTATGATCAGGACAGGATCTCAGAGTCAAAGAATTTCAAAGCCTGTTTTGTTCCCTTCTTGAGTCTCTTGAGGGGTCCCCTTTCTCATTATTCTACCCATAAGTGTGGGAATTTGTGTCTTTGAATCTGGGCAGACACAGGAATATAGGTATCTGTGTGTACTAAGCTGTGCTTATGGCCATGTGAGTGCCTAGAAATGGCTGAGTGTGCACAGGGGTGACATGTGCTTTTTCCACAATGCTGCTCTCAACACATGAGTGCTTTGCCCTCACAAAGCTCAGAGCAAAGGGGATGTGAGGACAATAGAAATTGTTTGGAAGTCTCTTGCTTGGGAAGGCTACTTACCTAAGAAAAGGCACAGAGGCCACAGAAGATGAACCCAACAATGCAGTGTTGTTCTTCAATGATGGCTTCCTCCCTTCCCTTCCTTCCCCTTTATTTCTCTTCCTCCTTCCTTCCAATCACTTCCAGCCTGACATGCCTCTCCATATGTGATCTACTTTAACTTACAGAGGGACCTATCCTGGGACCTGTTCCTCTTTCTAACTTACATGTGAGACAATTGGGACCCTATAGAATAGATGACAGGACACAGGTGACATCACACAGTTAAAGAGCAGCAGATTCCCAGAATAGACAAAATGTTTCCTGAAAACACAGGAAACAGAGCGCAGAGATGGAGAACATGGGCAGGATTATGGGAAATCTGATTTACCAATAATTCCATCTATGTTAGAAGAATGAAGCTTCTGTACAAATAAATAGGATACAGAAATAGGCTTACCACAGGTCCAGGGGGATGGAACTCATCAAATGTCCATTTTCAATCTCCATCAAAGAGCAGGACAAATTGAGGGACAGTCCCTTTTATGGGTCAATTGTCCTGTTAAGTATACATCAAGCCATGACCCTATCCTGTATCTACTCACAGTAGGCTCTAAAAAAGATAGTTTGATTGAAGCCTGGGGCCTCAGTAGGAGTATTCATGAGAGTATGAAGATAGTAGATATTTATACTCAATGGTACAGTGGGGAAACTCTAGTGACCAGGAATTTCAACTGTGGCTTGAGATTTGTCAATGCTTTTCCATTGCCTTAGACGTTGTAATATAGCTCTCAGTCTCATCCATATCAGACTACAGCAAACTAAGGCCTGGAAATCAAAACTGGGCCATCGGCCATTGCTACACATAAAACTTTATTGGACCAGCAACATCTATTCATTGACATATTGTGAGTGTCTGCTTTCATGGCACCACTGCAGAGTTGGGTAATGACAACAGACACTTATTTAAGGCCCACCAAACTAAATCATTTTCTATCTTGTTCACAAGAGGGAGGGATAAGCCCAAACCATTTGTGCCAATATAATGCTCTAAATCTCTTAGGACATATACACTGTGTAACTTAGCAATCCAAATAGTCTCCATGATGCTCAACAATTCACTAAGACAAGAGGAGTAAACCAAAGTTATCTCAGATAAACCATGAATTTGGGACACCACTCCCTAGAATATAACCTCTGTGCTAAGACAGTCACATGCTAAAAGCAGGTCAAGGTCAAACTTCCATAGCAGACAGTAGATTAAATACCAGTATACAGATTTCTTTCTGCCTCCCTAGAACCCTACTTGGCTGGCTGTACTTTCTAAATAGAGACACCACATAGTTTCCCAAACCCTGGACCACTTTACCTTCACCAAAAAGCATTTCACAAAACAACTAATTTCAGTTCTTTCCAAGATAGCAAAAAGAACTCCCCTCATCCATGAAACTGTATGGGTACAAAACAAGGGGCTATATCCCAAAGGTAACCTAGACACCTGGCATGTGCTGAAGCAAGCAATGCCACATGGATATTTTATAATGTAAGTTGGTGATAAAAGCTCAGCTGAGCTGGTCAGACAATATACAGCCTTAATTTATGTCAAACCTTGTGAATATGCATAAATTTTATGGTCAGGATATCTGCACACTTGACTCTGGTGTGCCAGGAAGAGCCTATGATGGATGTTACTTACAAACACAACCTTGTAAATTGCAAATACTGTGAACTCTGAAACATATCTGACACTGTGAATACCAGATCAAGATTTCGGAGCTGGTACTACTTAAAAACATCTTTGCAAGGGGAGAAAAGATGAAGAACTAATGAGGCCAAAGGCACCTTTCTCAAAACATCTACAATAAAAAGTCTCAGTGTTAACACACATGTTAAAACCATTATATTCTCTTTTAGCCAGTTTTCTTGGTAAAGCATTACTGCTCTCACAGAGGGAGTAGGTGCTTTACCTGATGCAAAATGAATATAGTCCACACTCATTATCACAAGGCCAGGCTCTGTCTGACTCACCTCTGCATTTCTGAAAGGATATTTTATGCTGTGCCTGTAACATAAGCACTCAATAAATGGCAGGTGCCATCATCATCATCACCACCCTCTCAGCATCACCACCACCATCATCATTGTCCTCTCATCATCATCATCATCATCATCACCATTCTCAGTATCACCATCACCATCAGCATCAGCATCCTCTCAATATCACCATCGTGATCATCATCATTCTCTCCCCTCTAATTCTAGAGGAATTATAGGAAATGCCTAACGGAGGACAATGCAATCATTCTAAAAACAAATCACAGCCACTGAAGATAAAATGGGAAATAGATGTGGCAAAAATCTAGGCTAAGTGTTGAAGGTAATTGAGTATTAAATTCTGATTTTTAGTTGCCAAAGCAAAGAAGAAAGAAATAGGACTGAAACTGCCACATCAATGTAAACAAGCAAGCTCAGTAGAGGAATATGTTCCTTTCACAGATGGACTGAAAGCACTAAATACTGGGTATGGACCTTGGGGCCATCTAAGAAGCCCTGGCCACTCATCTGCCACCCTTGGGTCTAACTTCTGTTACAGACACTAGAATATGTCTCCAAAATGCAGATTTGTGGCACCTTTTCATTTGAAAACTTTCATCACTGGTAATGGGGACTGAGACTAGGTACAAGGGAGCTTTTTGAATGAAGGAAATGTTCTAAAAATGGTTGATGGTGGTAAATGCAGAATACAGTAGCTTTACTTAGAAAAGACACTAGATTGAACACTTAACACAGGTTGATTTCATGATATGGAAATTTTAACTAATGATATTTTCATAAGAAAATTTCTCAATAATTTTGACTTACACCTGTCTGGAGTTGTAGCCCCTGCAATCACTGTGTGGAATGGTGTGGGTCTCTATCATCTGTCTTCATCCACAGTGAGATAAGAAGGACAAGTAAGAATGGGGTTCAAAGCAGATACAACAATTTGGCTTTGCAATGACATAGTTAAGTGTGGCTTATACAAGTATTGGCTCAAAATGAATAAGGAGAAAGTGCTCCTTCCTTCCCAACTTGTAGTTTGTGAATCACTGCTCCAGAACTGGCTTGCTACCCTGACCATCAAGCCCCCATGTCCTACATGATCTGCAAGTTCATTTCCCTGTATATCTATTCTACAAGACATCCTTAAAGAACTTAGTTTCTGCTGGGAGTGATTACATACATCTGAAATTCTAGCACTTAGGAGGCTGAGGCAAGAGGATTGATAATAATTACAAGGCCAACCAAACCAGGGATGCATTGTGAGTTACAGGATATTCTGGGCTATATTGTGAGACTCTGTCCCAAAATGGGGCAGGGGAGGGAAGGAGAACCACTAAAACAAACAATAGGAAAAAAACAAAAAAGAAAAAGAGAACATAGTTTCCAAATGCCTCAGAATCTCTCACTCTCTCATGCTGTCACATTCATGATCCACTTTTCCAGACATCTCAAATGTCTTGCCCTCCCTTTCCTGTATATCTTAATTCAACCTTCCAAATTGGGCCTAGCTGTCTCCTCTTCTTAGACACTATCACATTGCCCCTCCAACCAAATAGTCTCTACTTGACTAGTCAGCTTATCTCTCCAGACCTCAACCTTTTCATGTGTGGAATCCAGTAATTACTTTATAAGAGGTTCCAGAGTCTGTGTTCCTCCAGTCCAGTGTCTGCATTCCTCCACATGAACTCTACTATGCCTGTTCTTGCTCTGTTTATGAATACATCGGTCCCCTCCTCGTGACATCCAGGGAGTTGGGGTCACCTCTGCATCACTGGAAAAGCCTCTTCAACATGAGTTGAATGAGTTAAAACTAAGGTCCTATTTTAGACCTAACCACTCTAGGAAAGGCAAAAGGGGTATAAAGATATGTGATTGCTGGTAGAAAGAGATCAAGGTTAAGTGTCATACCTGGTAGAAATGAGGCCAGAAGGTGCTGATAGCAAGCTCTGCCTTCACCCAGCCCTCGGTGACAACCCCAGACACGTTCCAGACAGGGTTCCCTTGGGGACCACCGTTCACTTTCACGTAGACATTCAAGGATCCTGGGCTGGAGCGATCTCGGCTGGAGAAGTAGTAATGGAAGTCAATGCAGTGGGTGTCATTCTCCTTCAGGGTGGGCAGAAGAAGGTGGGCTTTCTGGCCTGAGGCCCTTCCAGAGCTGTTCACCATCATGAAGGACCCTAGAGACCCATAGTGGGTAGTAAACAAAAACAAAGAGAGAAAATGTCCTTCTGAAAACTTGTCACATCCATACATGGTATCTAGTAGGGAAGTTAGAAATGAAGTCCCTTTAGGTGGCAAGTTAGGTTGACTCTGAGGAAGCCACAACCTGCTCAGAGTCTGAGGAAGACTTCCATAACTGGGGCTAAAATCCCTCCTCATAGTGGTACTGGAAGAATGAGGAGATAGATGGTCCTATACAGGAAGAATTTCTACCCAGTAGATTGCTTATCACTAAGTGCAGGACCTTAAAGGAAACAAGGGATTAAAAACCCAAGAAGAGACTCAACCACAGTCTTTACAGGTGAAATGGGATGAGGAATAGCCTCATATAAGCTGGGGCTTGTTTCAGCTGAGGCAGAACATCTACAATATGGGAGGATCCCATGCATGGGCAGGCTCTATCTGGAGTTCTGCACTCAGCATTGGAAATGCCATATTAAGGGAGACCATATACAAACAGAGCATATCATATCTGAGAAGAAATATATCCCCCCAAAAGTATAATAACCAACTATAACATGTCTTAAACAGGTTTCCGCTTCTGGCAGACACATCTGAGTATATCAGTTGCTGACTATGTTCCTAAGTAGACTGTGAGCCCTGGACTTGCTGTGGATGTGAACCAGTCAAGCTGATGTGGACACCCCCTGTCTCTGCAACACAGTCTGCTAACCAGAAACTCCTGATGGATTCCCCATTGGCTAAATTCCTTTTTTTTTTTTTTTTTTTTTTTTTTTTTCTTGGGTCCCTAACTTCGTTCCAAAGTCAGCAGGAAGTAGTAGCATGGGAAAGAATATGTCGCCCATTTTCCCTGGTTAAAATGCTAAGTCAGAAGGAACTCCCTGGCATGGGGATGCCAATATCTCTCACTCCCTGATGGGGATGATGGAGAGACAGCAATTCCATGATTGGAATTTCCAAAAAAAAAAAAATTGGGGGAATGAAGGGACCAGTTCCCAATTTCTGCAGCCATAACAGCCGAACACATGCTTGTCTGACCTTGCCTTTGTCACTAGGAGGTCAAATGCCTGCCTTGTGGCAAGGAACCAATCAGAAGTTAGCTGGTGGTGCTATGCTTTACGGCTCTCAGTGTGCTTTACAGACAAGTGCAGAGCAATGACTCGCAGAGCATAGCAACCACCCTGGGAGGGCCTATGGGCCATAACAACCAGTTGACCAATCAACACAGGGCAAACCCTCCAAGCCTGGAGGCACACCAATCCTGAGCCTGTGCATACCCCTAGACACTCCCCTTGTGCCGCCCTATAAGATCTCTATGCAGATGCTTCGTGCTGTCTTTCCTAGCCATCTGCCATGGTGGGTGGATGAAAGACCCGAGCTAACATGGGGTTAGCTCGTTAAACAACTATAATAAAGCCTCATGCTGTTTGCATCAAAAAAAGAACCAAGATGCACGAGGAAACATGCAAAATGGGTGACACTCTAATCACTTAGAGACTCTCATTAACGGTAGGTATCTTTTGGTAGAACATATAACTGCTTCTAATAGCTATAACTGCTTCTAAGCATGCACAAGGCTGTGCAATAGACCTAAGTGAGCCTCTTTCCAGCTGCTGTAACAAATAGAAATGTCTCCTGTTATATACTCCTCTCTGGATCCAGGTCCTTTGGCACTGGCTGTACAGTTCTTTCTGTAGAACTAGACACTGGGCTCCATTTTGGGACTTATCAATAGAAGCCACACAGATGTTAAAAGGTGCCATTCTAGCTAGGCTTGTCTTCTGGCACTACTTTTTTTGTACTAAGAAGCTGAGATCCCAATTGCCTTGGGATCAAGAATTAACATACACAGGCAATCCATGGGTAAAGAGCCAAGCCCCACCACTTGAAAGCAAGATGCATAGCCATGGAGTCAACAAATGTAACCTACATCAGTCAACCTGAATCAATGCAGAGATCAGTGACTATAAGAATCAATGCTTACTGTTGTTTGCCCCTGCTTTCCTCCCGAGTGTTATACAACATTGCTGTGACATTGGCTAATTGATAAAGCCTCCCAAGAACAAGATTCAGATCCATCACTATGAAGAGGCATGTCTCAGCTCATTATGCAACAGATTTTTATAACAAGTGAAATTTCTGCAAAATGGAACCAACTGGCCAGAGACAAAGTGAGTCACTGCAGGGGGTTCCTCAGAGCCTGAACCAACTGGGATATCAAAGGGAATTTCACAATTGAGGAGGAAGGCTGAACTCTGCAACTTAAAAGTCTCCTGAATAAAATGAATCATAAAACACAGTAGATAAACTCCAGTAATGCTGGGATAAATGTTTTCTAGCTAGAAAAACAGAATTGCTTTAAAATCTTCTTGTGACCACTAAAATCTTCATTCTGAATGAAATCTTAAGACCCCTTATCACCAGGCAAAATGAGCCACTTCAGTAGCCATAAGTCACATCACTCACCTAGATTCCAGAGTGCTAAGGGCTGCAAGGTAATAAAGGCTAGGCCATCCATATCTTGTTGAGGTTTTAGATGGAAAAGACCATTTACACCTTGTCTCCCTGGTTCTGAACAAATTTACAAGTGAACACAGAAGGGAGATTATATTTAAAACCTCTATACAATTGCCTACAAAGCTGGATTAAAGAAAATATCAGTCTTGAAGACAAATTAGGCTTCAAGCACTACCACACTCAAGAATTAAAAAAACAAAACAAAACTATATACCCTGGAATCCATCCTTAACTCAATCCTGATTCCTGGGGGAAAAGCTATTCTTCAGGGAAGATGACTGGGGGCATGAGAATGAGCTCATATTAAAGCAAACAAAATACAGAAAAAAACAACAAGAAGAAAGCCAAGTAACAATGACAGAGAAAACTGTGGTCAGATTTTCAACAATCTACCTATGAGAAAACTTACCCAGCACCTGGGTTACTATCCAGCTGAAGAGTTGTCAATAGTGTAAAAAGCTCTCCTTGATGTCCTGGCAATAACTGAGGCTAAGTGAAAAGATGTTTCCCTATCTACAGATGTTATCTAGTTATCAAAAACCCCCAAATGAGCTAGCAAGAAATAAAGCATGAAAAGGGGAAGTGACGCCCAGAGATGAGACTGAGTCAACATCCATACCTGCCCTTGCTAGTCTACACACAGCCTCCTGGTGGCATCCTTGACAGAAGGCTTATTGCCCACAAGTTTCACAAAGAGTGGTGGGCTGCCTTTGCCACTGACCAGCCATGCATCCCAGGAGCGGCAGCCTGAGGAGTGAAATATGCTCTCTCCATCCCAGGTTGCATGACAGCTTCTGTTTATACTCACTCCAACTGTCCACCCATCAATCTACATCACTTATACCCCACAGCAATGGAAGTCAGGAAAGGGTCCTTCCAACAGCTCCTGTCACCGTTTCCATTCATCTGAGTTTCAGTAGCTGAGCAAGCCTGCAGATGAGGTGGCATTTATCCTATTTAGTATAGCCTCACACAACTCTGGACACAGAAACACTGTTCAAGGTGATGCAGAACTCTGTTTCAAAGAAGTCAGACTTCAGTGTGCACCTGTTCCATGCTTGGTCCTTAACAACTGGTTCCCTTTCATGCTCACATCCATCCTTTGTTATCTTTTCTCCCTCCCAGATGGTCCATCGTTCACAACCTCAGCATCACCCAGGAGCTCAGAAGACATTAGACTCTCAGACTCCTGCATGCCTGTGTAGTCTGCACCTACATTTCTATCAAGAACCCCAATTGATAATGTGCAAATACAAAAGTGTGGGAGTGACTGGTCCCTTCTCTTCTCCCAACCACACTGAATGCTCAGGATTTCATGAATCCAGGAGAGGATAGAGCCACAGTGAAGGAGCCTGAATGGCCATGACTATATTGCAGGTCAACCACCTGTCAGGAGCCTCGTTTAGGACACAAAGGGATTCTTTAGAAGAAATACACTATAATTGGGTTATGAAGCCAATGGAATTTGGAGGTTTCTCTTTCTATAGCAGTGTCATTGTTTGGGCTCCTCAGCCCCCCTCCCACTATCTCTCCCAAGCCTCTTTATTAAAGGGATTGAAAGTAGAAAGCAAAGTTACAAGATGATGTAAATTGGGATGCTAATAAGAGAAGCAACCCTGGGTGGTTTGAATTGGAAGAAAATGTGCAAAGAGACAGAGGCATGAAACCACAGCAGCCAGAAAAGCAGGTGTTGAGTCTTAGTGCATGCAGAATGAGGCACTGATAGCACCCTCCATGAGAGGTCTGGCCACACCCTCCAGAAAAGCAAGAAGCTGTATCTCAGAGTCATTTGAGACCAGGCCTGCCATTTCTAAGATTATTCAAGTGTGAGAACCCTGTTCTGCAGTGGCTCAGTGGGGCCCTCTTTGATCAACAGGTTGGCATAATTAATATCATCCCAAGGCTGTCGGTTTCCTAGAGATCAAAAATGAGCCAGTCATTATGCCAAGATCAGTCAAAAAACAAGAAAGAGAGAGACTGTAAATACAGTCTTTTCCTTTGCCAAAAAAATGTACCAATGTGATAAGGAACATAAAACAGCATTAGTTTCCTCATAGTTATTATACATAACACTGAAAATTGTGGAACTAAACCAGGAAGTACTCTCTGGCTGGCCATAAATTTTGCGTTTTCCCCCTCCATGCATAATAATGCCTTGATAAGCGCCCTGTTACTGATGTGTCTGCCACACAGATACCCTTTTTGGAGGCAGCATGCTTCTCAGTAGCAGATGGCGGCTATTGTGTTTACACATGAGCACCTCAGGATTGCATTTCCTCACGTCGGCAGTAAAAAGAAAGTCCTAATTGAGTTTTTAATGGCTTTGCACATTGTTCATTAAGATTACATGAGTGTGCTTGGGCGACTGGCAACTGAGGGCCTGCAGCTCTGAGAACAAGAACACGGAGTGGTCCCTGAAGACAGGTGAGCTGTCAGCTTCCAGCGCCAGGACCTGTGAAGGGAGAAAGGCTA